TTATTTTAAAACCTTCTTCAATTATGCCTGGGTATCAGCCAATACACTTTTTTTTTTTTTTTTTTTTTTTTTGGGAAAACCACAAGAAAAATCAGTTTTTCCCACCCCAAAAGCAGCCCCAGGTCAAGCTGATCCCAAGGAATTCCCACCTCAGAAGCTGCCTCTGTGTCCGTGTCATCACTCAGGCACTGGGAATCCTCCAGCTCATCCAAGCACACATCCTCGGGCACCTGGAATTCCAGGAAAGATTTGTCAGAGGGTGGAAATGTTGGAATATTCCTTATTTTTTGTTTGCCTGGTGCTGCACACCTCAATTAAAGGATTACATCATCACCTTGCTCATTAAATAATTTCTAAAAGTGAATAAAAAGTCTTTTTTGCAGGTTTTTTTTTTTTTGCAGAACGTTGGTGACTTTTACTGGTTTACCATGATCAGATTTGAGTCTTTATAAGCTTTTTCCAAACTTAATTCCATGATTTTTTTTTGATTTATAACTCTTGCAGCTATTGGTTAAGAAACCCACTTCACCTGCTGCCGAGGACGCTGAATTCAATTTTAAATTTAACTTTATGCCTTGAAAAATATGAATTTAAACCAAAACCCGAACAGAAAAAAAACCATTGAACACACCAGGAATGGCAACAGCCTGTCCTAAAAACCAGGATTTTAAAGCTGTGGATGGGAACAGACCCATCCTTGGCAGGGGGATGGATTAAAATGGAGCACACGGTGGCCGAGGTACCTTTGTGTCCCCTTGTGTCACCTCCTCGCAGTCCAGCACCTCCACCTTGAGGCCAGCACTGCCCTGCTCCAGGGGACACTCGTTGAGGAACCACAGGTCATCAGTGGTGTCTGAAACTATGGCAGTGTCTATGTCCTGAGGGGGGAAAATAAAGAAAATTTAAAAAATAAGATTAATATAAAGAAGCGAAAAGAAAAGAGAAGAAAAGAGAAGAGAGAAAAGAGAGAAAAGAGAGAAAAGAGAGAAAAGAGAGAAAAGAGAGAAAAGAGAGAAAAGAGAGAAAAGAGAGAAAAGAGAGAAAAGAG